CTAATTCAAGAACAGAGTCAAGAATACAGAGTAATTTGTTATGCTAGTAGAAGTTTGACCGACACTGAAAGAAGCACTCGCATTGGTATGGGCGTGTGAAAGGTTTCATATGTATTTATATGCTACAGATTTTGAACTACTTACAGACCACAAACCGTTAGAATGCATCTATTCACCTAAATCAACAACCTGTGCTAGAATTGAGAGATGGATTTTACGATTACAACCATATCGTTACAAAGTACGATATATTCCTGGGTCACAGAATATTGCTGATTCCTTATCAAGATTACTGAGTAATAAACTGGAATTAATGCCAAAATCAAGTAAAACAGACCATGAGTATATCAAACTAATAGCTAAAGAATCAACACCAAGAGCCATGAACAACCAGAGAAATAGAAATAGAATCTGAATGTGATGATGAGCTGAAGAGAGTAAGAAACTGTTTATTAGATGGAAAATGGTATAACTTAGACTATAAAGAATATGTTCCAGTCAAATCAGAATTGTGTGCTATTGGAAATTTAGTTTTACGAGGGACACGGATTGTAATTCAATCGTCATTACGAGATCAAGTTTTAAAATTAGCGCATGAAGGTCATCCGGATATTATTGGTATGAAACAACGCTCGAGAACAAAAGTATGGTGGCCAGGTATAGACAAAGATGTAGAGAAATTTTGTAAATCTTGCTATGGATGTCAATTGGTATCACAGACAACACGACCTGAACCAATGTGTAGAATAATATTACCTTCTGCACCATGGGAATATTTAGCTGCTGATCTACTAGGACCATTACCTTCAGGTGATTATATTTTTGTAATAATTGACTATTATAGTAGATTTTTTGAAGCAGTTATAACAAAATCCACAACATCAGACAAAATTATAGAAATCTTAGCAAAGATATTTGTAACACATGGTTTACCATTGACAATACAAACTGATAACGGACCTCAGTTTATAAGTAAAAGTTTTAAACAAAATATGGATGAAAATGGCATTGTCCACCGTCGATCAACAACATTATGGCCTCAAGCCAATGGAGAGGTTGGACGTCAAAACCGCTCAATTATGAAAATCATTCGAATAGCCCAAGCTGAAAATCGCAATTGGAAATCTGAATTAGATCAATTCTTAATGATGTATCGAAGTACGCCGCACACAACAACAGGAAAGAGTCCAGCTGAATTATTATATGGGAGAAAGATGCGAACAAAACTGCCAGAATTACAAGAATTTGCGAAAGAAGATTATGAAGTTAGAGATAGAGATAGCGAACAGAAGGAAAAGGGAAGGAAATAATAATAGTATTTCAATAGGTGATAAAGTTTTAGTGAAACAAGATCATCATAATAAGTTCTCAACAAAATTTAATCCTAAAATATTCAAAGTTATTCACAAATTTGGAAATAGTGTAATTGTAGAAACTGTAGAGAAACCCTATGTGCGTTATAAGCGAAATGTTACACATATTAAGAAGTATTATGAAAGTGATCGTAATCGGGAAATCAAAAGTGAAACATCAAATAAAAATGTATTTGATGATATATCTTATAAAGTGCCAAATCAAAATGATCATAGTGCTATATTCGGAAATGATCATACTATTGTGCCAAATCAGAATATAAATCCTGATAGTGTTTCAAATCAATCAAATATTGATCATGATGATTCAAGTGATGAAAGTATTAAAACTTTCAATTCGTATCAACGACCTAAGCGTAATCGAAAAAGACCTCTCCGATATCGAAATGATTAACATTTATATAGGACACTCCAAACAACAAAAACCATTCCTCGACACTTGAAAAAGGATAATATTTCGAAAACCGGTTCGTGTCAATTGCGTAAGTTTTTGTTTTACTTGATATAATTTTTCACATCATTGTTAGCGTTATTTATCACCTAAATATATATTATTTTTGCATCTTGCTTTATATATCCCCAAACCCAGTTTGACTTATTTGCATAATTTGATCCCCACATTTTCACGCTAGCATATACAGTTTCCTCCTGTTACATCCGCTGTTCATTCCCTTCTAACCCCAAGTTATTTTCATTATGCTCCCCAACTACAACAACCACTGGCAAGAAGCCAGAAATAGAAACACTAATCGTCAACCAAACCAATATCACATACCCTACAACGGCCCTGTCTTCCATCGACCTCTACCACCTACCAATCGCCGACCACCAACCAACCCATCCAGCTATATCCCACCCCATCGCCGACCTACCCACAACACAGCCTACCAATCAAGAGGTAACCATCGACCTGACCAACAACAGAAACGACTACCAGCCCACCGACGCCAACCAGTCCCCACTCATAAGGAGGAAGAACCCTTTGTGAAGGTGTTCTTCCAAGTTTTGCAGTGCCTCCATCATTTGGCAATCCTTACCCTTCAACAGCAAGGCCAACAAGCGTTTACCTTCAAACGCAAAGTCTCCGAGTTGGATAGTTTTATCCGTCCAGCAATGAAAACATCAGCTGTCGACGCGAATATTAGATCCCTCAATCGGACATGGCTCTGTAAGGTTACGCAGGTCCTGATCGACCATTACCAAACCACACTTCAAGAGAAGCTGACCACCATTCGTACCAAGTCTTTATCATCACCTTCCGTCGACCGCATCGTCTCTCATGCCCTGTCCTGGGCCCGCCGATCCTATGGGAAACGTCTCACTCAAGCTGTAATCTCCAAATTCTACCAAACAATCAACGAAACAAAAACCAGAGTAACCATATCTCTACCAACTGAAATGGACACTACACCTGCACCATCTAGAGCCACCACGCTGCCGAACCAAACCCCTAAACGAGCCCGAAGTTCACCTACTCCTAGTCCAGCAGACATAGGTAAACGCTCTCGTAGAGAGGGCACACCCCTTCTCTTTTCACTTTCAGACTCGTCTTCCCCTTCCACACCATCTGAATCTTCACCACGTGATCCAGGATTCGCCAACCTTTCGTCCTTCTGTGCGTTTTTGGACCAGCAAACCACCCCTCAGTCTCCATCCAAGTCGAGACGTGTATCCAGACCTTCCCCTCCTCGAACCAGATCCCAGTCCGTTCCCAATGCTACAATTCTAACAACTACCAAACCAGTACCAAACACACCGTCGACGACCATTATATCCGCTACCAAACCGTATTATCACCAAACCAAGGACAAATCATTATGGAAACTACCTGCTCTAAAGAAATCTACCTTAATAATTGGATCATCTAACCTGAATCGAATTACCAAAACCAGTTCAGACACCGAAATACATTCTGACCCCGGTGCCCAAATCCATCACATACAGTCAATCCTGGAATCATACGACCATGATCCCGAACCTAATGCCATTATTCTTCATGTAGGCCTCAACAACCGTGATCAGATACCAAAGACCTCCTTTAACCAAGCCCAGAAATTAATCGCCACAGCCAACAAAACCTTCCCAAACTCCAAGATCCTCTTCACATGTATACCCATTTCAAATAAAATCTCGAAGAAAGCACAACAGAACCTCAGCACTCTCAACAACATGATGGTGGAGTCCAGTATCAACAGCGCAACAATCTTACCACCCTACGAAGAAGAATTCGAAACAGTTGATAATCTTCATTGGTCTCCAGAAACAGCAAACAGCATCTATTTGTTTTGGATACACCAGCTTCAAGCATCGAGCAAGTCTTTAAACTAATTACTGGGGATAAAAATACTGAGAGGCCACCGCTAGGCCAAACTGTAGTTAACTTGAGCCGCAAAATTCTCACACCCCTTCAGCATTCAATCTTAGACCGTGGACTTAAGTTTATTCCCACACCAAAGATAGCTAACTTGAATTATCTCCGACCATCCATTGAACGATTTCAACGAAATCTTAGCTGCACATATTTTTTTCGAAACCACCCCCCACGTGGTGCTAGAACAATGTTTATTCCTAAATCCACGTGGACACCCCCTCAGGCCGCCATCCATCCTGAAATATTGAAAGCATTTGCGAGTATGAATAGCCAAACAGTGAACCTTTCCATAACACACGAAAAGCCTAATCTCACACGAGTGGAACGTGAAGCGCTAACCTTACTTAAGAAAGACGATAGCATTGTTATTAAAAAGAGTGACAAAGGTTCATGTTGTGTCATTCTGAATAGGGAGGATTACGTTTCAGAAGCAGAGAATCAACTGAATAATCCTAAACATTATGCCATTTTACCGAAACCAATTTTCAAAGAAACTGCTAACATGATTAATAATATTCTTGCCGATTTAGTCAAAACTAGTTATCTCAAACAGAAACAACTATCTGTCTGCCAAACCTGATTGTCGCGAGAGACATTTGTACACTTTGCCTAAAATCCATAAGAATCCAACCAAGGAGTGGTTTATCTCGAATAAAATCCCTAAAGGCCGCCCGATTATATCTGACTGTGGTAGTGAGTCATATGCAGTGTCAGAATACATTGATCATTTCTTACTACCTCTAGCATGCCAACATCGCGCCTACCTTAAAGACACAACCGATTTTGTCAATAAAATAAAAAATCTTCGAGTTCCCTCTAATGCCATTTTAATTTCTATCGACGTTTCTTCTATGTATACCAATATCGATAACACTACTGGTTTAACGGCAGTTCGTAAGGCTTTTAATAGAAACCCAGATCCAAACAGACCCGACGATGCAATTCTACAGCTTTTAGAGATTTGTCTTAGTCGAAACGATTTCACATTTAATGGTAAAACATATTTACAAACTTCAGGGACAGCAATGGGCAAACGATTCGCCCCTTCGTACGCAAACCTTTTCATGGCAGAGTGGGAACGTGAGGTGTTGCCCCTCTGTCCATTTGACCCACTTTTTTACGGACACTTTTTGGATGACATTTTTATGGTTTGGACTTATTCTATCGAACAGTTTTGGGAATTCTTTGAAATTCTCAACAACCACAATCCTTCTATCAAACTAACCGCAAACGTGAGTGACAAAAGCATAGACTTTCTCGATACCACAGTCTTTAAGGGAGATTCCATAGCAGAAACAAATAAACTGGATATTAAAGTGTATTTCAAAGAAACTGATACTCATCAACTCTTGCACAAGAGCTCCTTTCACCCAAAACATACCTTTTCTGGTATAATTAAGTCACAAGTTTTACGATTTCATCGAATTTGTACAAGATCTTCTGATTTCAACTAAGCCTGTACGATTGTTTTCTCAAAACTGAAAGAGCGTGGGTACTCTAAACGATTTTTACGAAACATAAAAAATTCCACCTTAGCACAGGTAGCAGCTAAAAACAGACTTTATGCTAAAGTTGTTGTCACTTGCATTTGTCTAGTAAAAATCTCACATGTAGCTAGTATCAAATGACTACATCATGACATCTGTTGCATCAAAGGTTATCAGACTACATTGAACATTCTTGATACATCATTTTCAAGAAAGGATTATACGCATACGGTTTATTTGTATAGTGCTCAATTTTATACCGTTATAATGTACATCTGTGCTACTAACCTCCACGGGAATGGTATCCCAACTATGGTGTATTAACTCAATAGTAAAAGCCACTATTGAGCACCCTGGCCTGAAACGAAAAGACAAAATCATCAAAATCTAAATGTTATCGATGTGTTCATTTGACAGATAGTGGCGAAGATGTGTAACATATCAATATTATGTTGAATAGTTACGCATCCTTTTTGAAAAAATACTGTTCTTCTGTAATTGCATTTTAAATTAACCATTACACTGGTTAAAATTTCATAAAGCGTTTCGACGTGTTTCCCCCATGGTCGTCAGGCACATAAAGAAACTTGGACTATTTATATAGACATTTAGGGGATTATGATGAAGAGATATGATGAAGAGATATGATGAAGAGATGTTATGAAGCAGATTATTTGTGAATTACATTATTTTCTAACTAAAGTGTACAA